ATTTGACACTTTATCATTAGGATCTCTTCTCCTACATATTGTATTGTTTATCATCAATTCTCAAGCCCTTTCTTAGGTATTTTGTTGGTTTGTTATTTTGATCTTAGCATCTATTTCTTCATATTTTTAGAGTTTTTCAACGTTATAAGTTTTATTGATTCTATGGTGAATTTTAAAAAGATTGTAACTCATCATGCTACTGCCATGGTTGCCAAAAAAGTGATAGACCAACCTAATGTCAACCTTGAATTCCTAAAACAGATGATATTAAATCTTTTTAACACTCCTACTGCCTTATGTATTGCTCCAGGTACCAAACCTTGGTATTTTGATTCTAGTTGTTGTAACCATATGTCTTCAATGACTGCTCATTTCTCTTCAATGTCACCAAATAATTCCTTTCATGATATTTATTATGTTGATGGTTCCCTTATGAATGTTAGCCACATTGGCAATATTTTTACAAAGTCATTGACTTTACCAAATGCCCTTTTAGTTCTAAAACTTAGTTATAATCTTCTATTTATTGGTCAATTATGTGATCTTGATCTTAAGTAACATTTTCTACTCATGGTTGTCTTGTGCAAGACCCACAAACAGGACAACTTCTTGGAATTGGTCGCAAGGTGGGGCACTTGTTTAAGCTCAATTATCTGCATATTCTTGATCATAAAATAGATACACCATCATTCCCAAATGATTGATTCATCCAAACCCTACTTCGTGCTATTGAATTGGAGTCTTTGCAAATTCCATACCAACAAATCTTCCAAGCTTGTGTTGTTACTAATATTTCTCCTCTTCATTTGTGGCACTCACGGATCGAACATACCTCAGTCGATAAACTTCATCCACTTATCTCTCATGGTTTATTAAAGTCTGTTCCAAATGAATATTTGCATTTTGTGTCATGTTAATTTGCAAAACAACTAGCTTTATCTTTTTCTAGTAGTCATTCTTTTTTTGCTGCTTCTTTTGATCTCGTGCATTCTGATATTTGGGGTCCATCTCCAACACCTACCATGGGGGGTTTCAGGTACTTTGTGTTATTTATTGATGATCATACTCATTTTACCTAGATGTATCTTATGAAAAATTGATCTAAGTTATCACAAATTTATATTGATTTTTCTCCCGTGGTCAAAACCTAATTCTCTAAAATTATCAAAGTTTTGAAAACTACCAGTGCCACTGAATATCTTAGTACTAAACTTCAATCTTTTTTCAAAGAACATGGTACACTGACACAACAATTTTGTCCTTACACTTCTGAACAAAATAAGCAAGCTGAATGCAAACATAGACATATCCTTGATTCTATTCGTGCTTTACTCATTTTGTCTTCTTGTCCAAGGTGATTTTTGTGTGAAGCTACTCTTACAGCTATTTATCTCATTAATCAAATTCCATCCTTGGTGATCAATAATAAGTCTCCATACGAATGTTAACATGGTATTTCTCCTGCTTATGATCTTCTCAAGGCTTTTAGTTGTGCTTGTTTAGTTCTTCTTCCACCTTATGAACATAACAAGCTAGAGCCTAAAGCTCGATAATGTTGTTTTTTGGGTTATGGGATTACACATAAAGGATATCGTTGTTGGGATCTTGTGTCACAAAAACTTTGAGTCTCACATCATGTTGTCTTTTGGGAACGTCTTATGTTTTCCTCGTTATCAAACTTCCAAGTGTCATCTTTTAATCAACCTCCATTTTTTACTAATCCTTCTATTGAGTTATTCCCTAGTGATTCTAATGCAGGTACATCTAATGAGCTCTACAATGCCTCACCACATGCTCTAACTAGTTTTACGAAAAATGATCTACCTACTAGTAATTCATTGGACAATTCTGAGCCTTCCTTTACTTCCTCATCTATATCACCTGATGATGTTGCATTTGATATTGTTGAGTCTACAAATGAGCTTGTTGTCCCATCCCCGAGTCGTCCTACTTGGGTAAGAAACCTTCCTAGCTACCTTCGCGATTATCATTGTTTTCTTGCTATTACTTCTTTACATGAGCCTCAATCATATCGAGAGGCCTCTACTAACCCTCTTTGGCAACAAGCTATGCAAGATGAATTATAGGCTCTTGAGAACACTCGTACATGGGATTTACTTAATCTTTCTGCTAAAAAGTCTTTAATAGGCTATAAATGGGTGTACAAGATCAAAACGCAATCTAATGGTTCTGTGGAGCGTTATAAGGCACGCTTGGTTGCCAAGGGTTTTACACAGGAGTATGGAATAGACTAAACATTTGCTCCAGGTGCTCGTCACACATCTATGCGCAGTTTGCTTGCTATTGCTGCTAAACAAAGATGGAAATTGTTTCAAATGGATGTGAAAAGTGCTTTTCTTAATGGTGACTTAGAAGACAAAGTTTATATGAAACCACCTCCTAGGCTCAACCATCCTCCAAACAAAGCATGTCGATTGCGACGTGCATTATACGGGTTGAAACAATCCTCTCGAGCATGGTATGCAAAATTTAGTGCTATTGTGAGTGACTTTGGTTTTACTTTGAGTCAACAAGATACAACTCTATTCATTCATAAGACTACTCGAGGTATGGTTCTTTTACTTCTTTATGTTGATGACATGATTATTACTGGAGATGATATCGCTGGTGTTGAGGACTTAAAACAATCTCTCAGTCAGAAATTTGAAATGAAAGATCTTGGTGTTCTAAGCTATTTTCCAGGGCTTGAAGTCAACTCTTCAGATGATGGCTACTTGCTTTCTCAAGTAAAGTATGACTTCAATTTTATTTCTAAAGCTGAACTCAATGATAGCAAGAGTGTTTCTACACCTCTTGAGCCTAATGTCAAGCTTACACCTATGGATGACTCTCTACTTTCTAATCATACTCACTATCGGCAATTGGTTGGTAGTCTGGTTTATTTTACCACAACACGCCCTGACATAGAATATGTAGTTCACATTGTTAATCAATTTATGGCTGCTCTTTGTTCCACTCATTATGCAGCAGTACTTCACATTATTCACTATGTTAAGGGAACATTGTTTCATGGACTTCACTTTTCTACTCACTGATCTCTTGAACTTCGTGTTTATTCAGATGTTGATTGGGCTAGTGACTTTAATGATCGTAAATCCACCACTGGATATTGTCTTTTTGTTGGTGATTCCTTAATCTCTTGACGTAACAAGAAGTAGACAGTTCCATCACGTTCTAGCACAGAGACTGAATATTGAGCACTTGGAGACACCATATCAGAGTTACTTAACTTACATTGGCTATTAGAAGATATGGGTGTTCCTCAACCGCCTACTACTAATCTTTGTTGTGACAATCAGAATGCCATACAGATTGCTTATAATGAAGTCTTCCATGAATGCACTAAACATATTGAGGCTGACAATCACTTTGTTCGTCATCATGTTGCACAAGAAACTGTTCATTTAGTTTTCATTGGCTTCATTGATCAACCAACAGACCTTTTCACTAAAACTCATTTTCTTGGCCGCTTTCGTACTCTTCTTTCCAAAATCAAGTTGGTTTAATCATAACCACCTTGTGTTTAAGGGGATGTTAAGATGTAAACATACTTATTGTAAATCTTTTATACCTTAAAATATTCTCTTTATATATTTTATACCTTAAAATGTTCTCTTTATATATTTTATACCTTAAAATATTCTCTTTATAAACACCTATATAAAAGCCATTGTATATACAATATTATTCAAGAAAGCAATAAATTTTTCTTCAAATTCTTCTTCTTCTTTTCTGTTTCTAACAAAAAAAAAAACTAAAAAAAGCTTTTTTTATTCATTTACTTAAAAAAAAAGCTCATTTTAATTTATCTACTTTAAAATTTTTGTTATTTAATATGATACATGTGTAAAAAAAAACCAAAAAAACTAAAAATGGATAGCATAATAAACTTATGGAAAAAAATAAATTTTCTTAAATAAAAGAATTACAAAATATATTTTATTAAAATAAAGGGATCAAAATAAAATTTTAACCTTTGAAAATACGTAGAATAACCATTATAAGACAATGGGACATTTCAAGCGGCCAAAGAAGAAAATCACATAGAAACCATGGTAATAATGTAGTAAACGACAGAATTAGCTATCACCGAAACACCGAAGGAGAGACAAAACCAAAAGATTTTACCATTGCCAAGAAAAACACGATTCAGACATGAAAATTTTAAGGGGCAGTCCGATAACGGCTTAATTTAATTATTGGTATTTTAACTATGGATCTAATTTTATTTTAATTTATAAGATTAGTGTTCCTTCTAAATATTTTATAAATTTAGTAGAATATTTTAGAATAATCTATTGTATAAAATTTTTATTAGTTTCATAAAAAAATTATAGAAAATTTAAATCTAAATTAAAATAGAATAATTCCGATCAACAAAGTAATCCACAACAAATTGTAAGCTATTAAAATATATCAATAATTATGATTTTTATTATAAAAGAGAATTGTCAAAAAGAAAAATTGAAGTAATATGTGATAAAGATTACACTTTTTTAAACACTAAAAATGAACTTATCATTCTTACAAAATTAGTTTTATCTTAAAATTAATTTTAAAGAATAAAAATTTATAAAATATATAATTGAAGATCAATTTGACTAAACGAAGTGAAACTACTATTAAAAAGTTAATAAACTATACTAAACTGAAATGAAAATGAAATATAGTAGATAAATTTGAAACTATATAAAGATAATAGATGAAACATAAAAAAAATATAAAAGTTATTAGATTATTTATTAAATTAAGCCTCCAATAACACATTGTTTTTTAGGTTATTATCACTATTAATTTATAATTTTTTAAATAATTAATTATAATATTTAAAAATATTTATTTATAAAGTAATTTTAATTTATTAAATAATAAATATTAATTATTTTATTAATTATAAATTACTTAATAGTCAATAAAAATAAAAATTTAATAATTTTTTATAACCATAACAAATTTAATGATAACTATAATTATAGTTTATATTTTCTGCTGACGCTATTCCAGGACTTCTCACCACCTGATGAAAATGATTTTCAGCTTCGTCGAAATCCTTTTTAAGAGCTCAAAATCCAAGCTCCAGTACTCGTTCCTGCTCCCCAGAGAAACGGTCATTTCTCAATTTCCAATATATAAAAAAAAAACAAAACAAAACAAAACCAAACCAAACCAAACCAAACCAACCACCAACACCAAAAGGATTGGGTGTTTTTATCTCACATCCTACATTAAAATGTGTTTTTTTTTTTTTTTCCTCTTTATGGTAATTGGACCTAGGCAGGTCTCAGAACTACTCCGTCTTCTAAAAGGATGGTAAACAATCCTAATAGATGCTACTTAAAATTAATAAAATTTTCTTAATATATTTTTATATATTTTTGATATTAATCTCTTAATATTTAAAAGTCATATCGAATTTTAATTAATTTATAATTAAGTCACGTTGAATTTTATAAAAAGAAAACTCTTTCGGTGTTTATTTTTCATTCATAAAATTCAAATTTAAAATTTTATTTAAAAGAAATCAAATTTTTTCTATTTAGACTAACAAACCATTACTTTTTTATTTTTTTTTCATATTCTTAGTTCTTCAAATATGATAATAATATGGTGACGGTACAGCACAGCTATTGCGACCACATGACAATTCTCTACTTATTTAAATGATCATTCGGGACATGGTTAAAGACATATTAAAAGGTGTTAGAGTCATATAAATATTGTGATTTTCTTTATAAATAGTTAGTCATGATATTTAAAAATATTAGTTAATAAATTTATTTTAATTTGTTAGGTAATAGGAAATATTAATAATTTTATCATTTATCAACTAAAAATTATAATTATCAATTAAATTTAATAATTAAATTAAACTAAATTAATATTTTAAAAAATATATACAAAAAATTATATGACTTAAATACTTTTCAACGTGGAGATAACATTTACTGACCATTTGGGTGCAAGAGTCAAAAGTGTTGCTTTAAGCTTAAAAACTTCCAAGTTGTTTGGAAAATGAAATAGACACCTAATGTAGACTAATCCACACACAGCAGATTTCTTCAATAAATTGAGGAGTATTAAAATTGCAAAAAGGGTTTTCATCCTTATCTTATCAAGCTACAAATGCAATATCTGCGTAGCAACAAAATACTCGTAAATTGCAAGAAAAAGTATTAGGCTCGGTGTGCTTGGAGATATGTAGAGGAGGAACACATTATTGTATCTGAAGAAATTTTAAACCCGTTTCTGGGTCACCAGAGACTCGTCATCCTTTTGAATAAAGCAACCATATTAAAGACTCTCTAATACCTCTCTAATAGCCTGTAATAGCCTGTATACTCAATTTATACTCGCATAATTGAGTTTAGAAGCAGACTCATTTTCTGAACAATAACTAATATATTTTTTGATTTAATATATTTAACAACACATTATTAAAAAAAACATATTTTAAAATATATTTATTAAAAAATTATTATTTTTTAATTTAAATTCAATGTAAAAAAATTTTAACAATAAAATTTAAATAACTAAATAAATAAATATTAAAAAATAATTAAATTAAAAAACATACTAATCATTTTCTTCGTTCATTAGATAAGTTTGACTGAAGTGAAACTGAATATAGTCACTTGCAACTCTAGCTATAAACGATATTGAATAATGAGAGAAAAAAAAAATATTAAAATCAGAAAGAAAGCTGGGATTGTAAAACATTATTTAACATAAAATAAATTAAAGTATGCATATGCACATCTGTATAACTCTCTCCCCAATCCTTTACTTTACATGTTGAACCACTTGCCATATCCTCTAAGAAAAAAAAAAAAAAACACTTCATCAACTCAACCAAATAGCATACTTCAATCATCAACTCATAGAATACTTCATTCTTGCCAAGAAGGATAAAAAAAATCAACCATTAGAATAACTTGAATTTCGGACACTTGAAGGCTGCCAGCACGAAGCATTCTCTTCACTGTCCAGTTCTTGCATGCCAAAGACTTCTCAAACACATAAAACGCCTTGTTTCATATTGCACCAAATCATAAGAGAAATGCACCCTTTTTATTGTTAAAGAGGCCTTACTAAGCACCAGTTACTCTTGCTTTCTGGACAAGATGCTCAGAATCCTCCCTTTCCATTTTGCTTCCATGACAGTCAGGTTGATCTTGAAATAAGAACTCAACGTGCTCCAATGATTTTCCTTTAGTCTCTGGAACAAGGGTGTGAACAAAGAGAACAGAAAGAGCTGACAGTGCAGCATAGATGAAGAATGTTCCGCTGACTGTAACTTTTTGTGCAAGGGAAAGGTAAGACATGGTAACAAAGGCACTGCACAATCTATTGACCACTGCTCCGAGAGCAGATGCTTGAGCACGCAACCTCAAGGGGAACACTTCTGATGTCACAACCGAACAAAGAGGCCCCAGTCCCAGAGAAAAGAATGCTACATACACACAAACACATAAAATTGCCAATGCAATCACAATCTGACCTTTTCCCAGTAGAGCAAGAGTAGAGCCCAATGTTAACAAAGAGAGAGTCATTCCAATTGTGCCCGCATAGAGCAGGGGCTTTCTCCCAATTTTGTCTATAAGAAATGTTGAAACTATTACAAAGGCAGTTTTTGAGACACCCACAGCAACAGTTATAGCAAGAAGAATAGAGTTATTCTCAATCCCAGCATCCTTGAAAATTTCAGGGCTATAATACACAACTGTATCTATTCCCGTCATCTGTTGGAAAGCCTGGATTCCGAGTCCAATAACTAGCATCCGTCTAACAGAAGTAGAAGGAATTAACAGTTCACGCAGAACGGATCTTTTAGCATACCTATCCACATCATCACTAATTCCAGCAGCTTGTTGTATATCCGTGAGTCTCTCGTCCACATCTGCTTCATTTTCATCTGTTTTTAGTAGCACTGATCTTGCTTCTTCTACTCGGTTTTGCATTACCAACCACCTTGGTGATTCAGGGATGATGAATAGTGCAAACCAAATGAGGAGTGAAGGCAAAATCCCTACACCCAGCATTATCTTCCAGTTTATGTGGACTGAAAGACCAGAAAACGCATAATTTGAGACATATCCGAGCAAGATGCCAACATTTATGAAAACCTCAGGGAATGACGTAAGAGAGCCTCTAGCATCAGCTGGTGATATCTCTGCAATATACATTGGAGCTATCATGACTGCTATGCCCATGCCAACCCCACTCAAGACCCTTCCTACGATCAATATTAGGAATGAAGGTGCGACTGCCATTGTAGCTGAACCAAGTTGAAGGAGAAGAGCAGTTAAGGCCAATGTCCACTTTCTACCAAGTAAATCTGAT